GACTTTTGGCTCTTATGAACAAAGCAGGCAAAAAATGTTGAGGCAAGAATATTATTTACATGTAGACGTACATAAATGGCATAAACATGCTTTTTATATTTATAAAATGGGCGTCCTGCAGTTTTGGGATGTAAAGTGGACATCACAGTATGGCTATCTGACTATAACCATTTCACAACCAAACAAATAAACTGTCAATAAAGTGTCCTTGTATTATAAAAAGACTTTCTTTTTTTAAAGCAATAATATGATCACTATTTTCTAGATTGTAAGAGAAGTTCTGACTGGATCATTATTGGACATGGAAACAAAGTCCCCATCTGGCCATTAACCTCATAACCATATTGCACTAACTCACATCTGATTGTGACCATTCTTGGCCATGTCACCATCTGACCAAGGTTTGCTGGGAGATAGGGCTGCAACTAATGTTTATTTTCATTGTTGACTAATCTGTCGATTATTTCTTCAATTAGTCGACTAATCATTTTTATTGAAAAATGTGTTAAAATGTTGAAAAATGTCAGTCTGTCTCTCCCAAACCCCAAAATTATGTCATCTAATGTCTCGTTTCGTACGCATGCCAAAGGGTTTTAGTTCACCGTCATGGGAGTGTGTAAAGCTGCCAATATTTGAACGTAAGAAGCTGCAATATAAGTATTTTGGGGTACTTTTATAGTACTTTTCTATGAAAAATGACTCAAACCAATTAGTCGACGACTAAAATAGTCAGATTATTTTTATAGTAATCGATTAGTCGACTAATCGTTGCAGCCCTACGGGAAGAGCAACAAAGTCCGCAGAAGGAGAAGGTCGGGGTGGATGGACAGCTCAACAAAACATGGGACTTTGAAAGTGGAGAATTCAAAAGACTAGAGCAGATAGTTTGGGCCTTGCTCACTGTATCATTATGTTATAATTGTAAGAATTTTGTGTAAAGTCAATTTTTGGTCTCTGATAGCACAGATAATAACGTAAATATTTTTTAAAGGATAAATCAAGTTTAAAGGTAATTCAAGCAGTGTCATGTGCACCTTCTCTGTTTCTTTATCTCTGTTTCAGCTGTGACATCATCCCCAGTAGTTCACAATCTCTGGTGACCCTGGATTGCAGAGGGATTGTGGGTCGCTATGTGACTGTCATGCATCCTGACGTACCACCACAGCTGTGTGAGGTGGAGGTCTATAGCACGCAGGAAAATTTTGAAAACAGATTCCCTCAGTGGTCCCTGCCCGATGGTAGGCAGATTATACAGTTTTACAAAATCTTTGTGATTCAAAATCCAACCAGAAATGAAAGGGTCATCACATTTGCAGATGACACTGTCATTTACATTATTATCTTGTTAAGATAATAGTCCTTGTTTATAAAACTCAAACAATCAAGGCTAATGTGCTGATTCCATGTTGGTGTATTCTCTGTTCATAAATGCAAATTGACATTTCAAATGAAAGATTTCACTTTTATTACCTCTATGAATACCACAGTAATGTTGGATCACTGCACTCAGTGGGCCTCATTCAAGAATATCTTTAAGTTTGTTCTTAAGAAACGTCCTAAGCAAAGTTTTCGTCAGGTTCAGGACGTGTTCTTAAGCAGCAGAATTGTTCACACCTGTTTTCTCATCATGAATTCCATGGTCCTCGCAAGTTGGCAGCACATGCCAGTGGTTCCTAATTAGCACAGTTTGATGCCCTATAAGCTGCTTTGTTATTTTTGGTCCCTCTTGCCCGACACACCAGTGGTATTTTCTGCCTCGATCTATCACTAAATATTAGATGACAACAATTCTAAAAAGAAGACAAAATGAACCTAATCAATCTATTAGATGACATGGTTCTGCTTATCATGACTGATATCAACTGAAGAGTTAGTTAGGTGTTTATTATTAAAGGCAATGATGCTTTTTGTAAAATAATCCAAATAAAAATATTATTGTAACATATATCCTATAATATTATGCAACTGTAGAATTGAGCAAAATTCAATAACCAATTATTTTTCACAAACATGCACAAAATGTGTGTAAGAGTGCTCATGAGTGTGTGTGGATTCTGTTCTTACCTGAGAATAAATCCCAGAAAATAAATCATTGGTGAATGTCAGAATCTTCTTGAAAACTGCATAAGCGGGTTTTAAGTGTCCTCTTTGATCTTTTAGTGATTTGATAAAGCCTAATAGCTTGTTTGCAAATTATGTGACTATTATGATGTGCAAAATTCAGATGGAGGACAGGGAGTGATAAATATTCAATGTGAATTGAAAATAGAGGGACGTGACTACAGAAAAGTGTTGGATGAACATCCAGGCAGCAGGCATTGTCAGAAAATTGAACACCATGTTGGATGTTATCCATACATCCAAGTGATTTTCCCACAACTTGACTGATTTGCTCAGCGTGGACATCATCACTGTTACAAATAACTTCCTCCTTCAGATCTCCCAATGTTACTAACGTTACATGGCGAGCCGGTGACAAAGTATAAGAGTCTAATGGACTATAACCATTTTGTGGTCGCGTCCACAACTAAAATGACATCTTTTATCCATCTTGCTTTTGGCTGGGTGAGTAATGTGCTTGAGTATAACTGTTTTTTATATTTTAACTTTGTACTTTTATATTTTAACTTTGTACATGGATGCACCTCCCCAGAAATGTAACTACACCTTAAAGTTATCTTTGTCAAATGTTGCTGTTGTTCCTGACTTCATATGAGTAGAGAGAAGTCCACTAGCTGCTAGGGTAATTTATACAATGTAAAATGCCATATGCTTGTGCTAAAAACATTAGCATGATGTATTTGTGGGGAAATATGTCCAGATAAAGACAAGTGCTTTGTCTGTGAATGCTGTGAGTTATAGTGAAGCTGATTTGTGCACTTGTGTTTGAAATTGTCTCTATTAAGCCATGTTTAATGTGTGTTTAATGTGTGTTTTGAATCAACTAAATTTCACAGCACTTCACAGAAACCTCTGCTGCCGACTAGTGTTTTGGAGGTGTAACTGCAGAGTGACACAGACACCACCGCACAAGTATAAATGCTCACAACAGCGTAAGCCATGTGCATAGGCTACGGTGTAGGGTCTGCCGTACAAGTATAAATCCCCCTTAACTCGGTGCTTGAACGTTAGCATTTGACTTTAGTGGACTCCAGACTGAAGACAGAGGTTTTTGATCCACGTCCGCTGCTGTTTTTCATTGAGTTTTATTTTTTCCCCTTTATGTTCTAATATTTTTGGGACTTAAAGTGGCCCTTGCTTAGGCATTTGGGCAGTGGTGGTAGTCTTTGCTCAGCTGCCCTCCATCTGGACAGAGCACCAATATATGAGGTCATATGCAAAGAAGCTTTGTAGACTTCTCTCAGGCAAGTAATAGTCCTCCATAGCAACATCATATCTTAACAAATAAAGTAATTGTTGAGTTTCCCTTTTTCTACCAACAGATCACTGCTCTTCCTGCAGCCGTGACTACATTCTCATTCACAATGAACCTAAAACTTGGTTTGAAGCCCAGACCTACTGCAGAGAGAGGTACACTGACCTGGCTACCGTTAGCAACGTTCAGGACATGAACAGGGTCGTAGACAAAATGGAGAATACCTTCACCGACTTTTGGATCGGGTTGTATGAAGATGCTGTAACCTGGAGGTGGTCTATGTCAGATGAGGGTCACTATGGAGACGGTGAAGTTGAGTTCAGGAACTGGGGTGATGGTGAACCCACCAATGAGAGTGGCATTCAGCATTGTGCCGGCATACAACATATGGGTCAATGGAAAGACCTGGACTGTGACTTACTCCACTACTTCTTATGCTTTGATGGTAATATTATGGAAAATATTGTTCACTTGTCGAAAAGATATCTGTAGCTGATGAGTCGGTCTCTTGTCTCCAAGGAAACACTAAACTGTTTTGTACTAACTATAAATTTTGGATGACTTAAAGGGACAGTTCACCCCAAAATCAAAAATACAAAATTGTTCTCTTACATGCAGTGCTATTTATCAATCTCGATTGTTTTGGTGTGAGTTACCAAGTATGGAAATATTGGCCATAGAGATGTCGGCCTTCTCTCCAATATAATGGAACTCGACGGCGCTCGGCTTGTGGTGCTCATAGTGCCAAAGAAATACTTTAAGAAAATTCAACAGCAATGTCTCTTTCCAGAATTCATGACCTGGTCACTCAAGATGATCCACAGACTTTGTTGTGAGCAGTTTCATGTAGGAAATATTTCCCTCCTACCGAACTACACCCAGCAACCATATTACTGTGCAGAAGGAAGCGTGCATCTACTCATAGATGAGAGGCTTGTGACGGTGTGAGATGTTAACATTAATGGCATCCTCCTCGGCTGAGCTGTAATGTTAACTCGCTCAGTGGTGACATGAAACTGCTCACAATAAGGTTTGTGGATTATTTTGAGTAAACGAGCCATGATTTCTGGAGAGAGACATTGCTGTTAAGTTGTTTTTCTGGTGCTTTGAGCACCACAAGCTGAGTGCCATCTAGTTCCATTATATTGGAGAGAAGGCAGACATCTCTATGGCTGATATCTCCAGCACTCGGCAACTCACACCAAAACAATCGAGACTAAATAGAAAGCACTACAGGTAAGAGGACAAATATGCGTTTTTGATTTTGGGGTAAACTGTCCCTTTTAATATCATCACCTAGTTTCCAAAACTTATCATTTTTTCCTTCCAGGAACAAGTGGCATTCTTAGTGTGTCCATGCGTCATTAATATTTCTGTGGTCACAGGCAGAAGCGGTGCACCAGAAACAAAGATTCTTGTGGAAACAGCAATGAAGTGGACTGACGCTCAGCGCTACTGCAGGGAGTACCACACAGACTTGCTCAGCGTGAGGAACCAGGCTGAGAACCTGGAAATCCAGAGCATGGTACCGGCAGGAAAGCTGGCCTGGATTGGCCTGTTTATGGACTCCTGGAAGTGGTCAGATGGGAGCTACTCCACATTCAGATACTGGTCAAGTGGGCCACACAACAGCTCAGGAGAGGGTCCGAACTGTGCTCATGTCTACCACAGGAAATGGAGTGTAAGGTCCTGTGACACCGAATCTATGTTTCTCTGCTACTGTAAGTATCATACTTGTTTATGTAAGCTTTGCATTAGTGCACAAGAAATTAAATGATTAGTCAACAACAAAAAAGTATTTTTAAAGCAAAAATATCCAGTGGCAGGTGTAACTTCCTCTTTTGTGAGCAATGAAATGGGTGTTCCCCAGGGATCCATCTTAGGACCTCTTCTGTTCAGCCTTTACATTAATGACTTACCATCAGCCTGCATGTGGTGTGAAGTTCAGATGTATGTAGACGATAGCGTAATTTATGTTCATGCATAAAACAAACAAAACAAACAAGCTGCTGCTAAACTCACTACAACAATGACAAGTGTTAAAAAAGGCCTAATGATTCTCACCTGTCTCTAAATGTTAAGAAGACTGTTTGCATGTTTTTTACTAAGACACACTCTACATCAGACTGTAATCCTGAAGTCTATGTGTCTGGAGAGAGCATCCAAGTAGTGCCTCATGTTAAATATATTGGTATCATTCTTGACTCCACCTTCTCAACTCCTTCAAAAAACAAGTCATAAAAGTTATGCAAACAGCCAAATAACAGTCGCATTTTGGCTGTCGCCATCTTGGATTTTTTGAAGCCAAAATTGATCATATTTGGGCAAGAGGGTGTAGTTTGGGTGAAGCGAGGAGTGGATCTGAATCATGGACTGTAGTGACAGCCAGTCACTTACTCAAAGGCCGCAGCCTAAATTATGCGTGACTGTAAACCTTAATAAAATTGACATAATAAATAAACTTCATTTATATATTGTATAGCACCATTCAAAACACACTTACAAAGTGCTGTATAATAAAGCTAAACACATTCTTAACACATGGAGAATAAAACAAAAACAAATTTATTTTCATTGAAATAAACCTGAATCAAAGGCTGCCTGAAAGATCAGAAATTAATCTTAAAAGTACCTCTGTGCTTTTAAACATTGGTCGACAGTGATGCTTCTACTACTGCAGTCAATGGACTGAAACATGTTAAACAGCTCTTCAGTCAAGCAATCACACCAGCAACTATTTTTCAGACTATAAGAAGAGATCTGTGGTGAAGATCAGCATTAACTCTGACATGAGCGACCCAGTCATCCGACAACAAATCTTAAACCAGGTGAGAAAGAGCACAGATTGTTTCACATGTGCATTCATAAAAGTTTACTTCCTTAGTGATGAATAGTTTATAAGAGCTGTAGCTAATCATATCTAAGTTGCTAATTATTAAAGTATCGTAAATGTAAAGATTTATATTTTGTGTATATTTTCTAGCTGGAGGCAGATATGAAAAGAAAGGGCATCACTGATTTCAAGATCCGCTGGTTGACGTCCAGAAGAGTTTCACACAAAGAGGCACAACAGTAAGACTTTAATGTCAATTTTTCCATTTTTTTTTTTTATTTAGGTCACTTCTGTTATTGCTGTTGCATTCCTAGTGTATTAATCCTGCTCCAAGAGACATTTGTCCAATTTTAAAGTCAAACTAAAATTTTCTTTTTGTGGAAGGAATTAATGGAGACTTGGTCTACGCAACAGCTAACGACATTTAAAATTTAAGTCTCTTCTGTTCGGCAAGTACAGTTTGAACTAATAACATACACAAGTCAAAACAAAGGCGATATATACTGATATCTGAGGAAAATACCATTTTAATTTCAGTTAGACTGTATTTTTCTCACAAGTGCTGTATGTAGACCAACAAAAAGGTAGTTGATTGTTAAGTCTAAATCCTGGGACATCAAATACCAGCGCTCTTTGGGTCTCAACAGTCAACTGTCTTTCTCCAAAGTTAGACGCTGCACTTTTAATTAAAAAAAAAAAATATATATATATATATATATATATTTTGTTGTTAATGCACTTAATGTACTTGTTTTTAGATACTGTTTTTTTCTGGGGGTTTTCCATCCTTTTTGTCTTGTCATCTTTCTTTCTTTCTTTGTAATAGTTCTGTTTTTTAAATAGAGTTTGTCTGTTTGCAGACTTGTAAAAACACCAGTATAAAGCCTGTACACTGACCTGTTGAAAACAACAGTAACTTGTAAAGCTTGTACAAGTTAATATAACTGACTCGTACAAGTTTTGGCATTGTAGATAAATATGTAAAGGTCAACACGTCTACTATCAGGGCAGTACAGAAGTACAAAACAAATGTTGGCTTATATTAGAGCTGGGCCTAGTTCTCCAACCTTTCTATTGACAGATAAATGTGCAACCATCTGTTAGTCTTTCATTCAGTACCATCAACAATATAGGCAGTCTCTTGACTGCATTCTCTGCTGTGTTATTCTGCATGTTTACCTATAGAGGGAGTCAGACTACAGAGTGAGTGTGCTGCCTTATCTCCAACAGGTACATGCAGCCTGAGGGAGGTGAAACATGAATCCTGCTGCAGTGGTGCACCCATTTTAAATGTTATCACATAGTCAAATAGGCATTAGTACTGGTTATCAGCATCATAGATATAGGTTAGAAGGCTCCTGCTACACTGACTAGTATATTCAGAATGCTGTGATCATCTTATTAAACAGCTGTTGGCAAAATGTTTTTCTGTTTCAACAATGCTGTGGTTAACGTGTGGTTATGTTTAGGCACAAACCAACTTGGTTATGGTTAAAAAAAAAAAAAATCATATTTTGGCTTAAAAAATCTGCGTTTACTGGCACAAAAGCTGCTTGAAATTCAGCAATAGGTCACTAAAACAGTCACATTTTGGGGCCAGAATGCTGCTGAAAAAGCAGCAACTACTCCCCTAAAACACACCCTTATTTCGTGGCAGAAATGCTGCTAGAAATGCAGCAATAGGTCGCTAAAAACAGCCATGTATGGGGGTAAGAATGCCGCTGGAAATTACATGACGACTCGTTAAAAAGAACACCGAAGTTTGGTGGCAGAAGCACAGCTGGAAACACAGCAACAGGTTGGTAAAAACAGCTATGTTGATGGGCAAGAATACAGCTGGAAATGCGGTAATGATTCACAAACAAACACCAGTGTTCGGGGGCATAAACATAGCTGACAACGCAGTGATGGCTAACTAAAAGCAGCCACGTTTGGTGGCAAGAAAGCCACAGTAAATGTGCCAAAAAAAAAAAATCCCTGTGGGGGGCTGAAACCAGTGATGGGTGACTTATTAAAACCTCATATAGGGCAAAAATTGATACAAGTGTCATCAAAAAGCACCCATGTTTGGGGACAAAAATCCAATGGAAACACAGCTGAAAGTGCAGCTGGAAACATCACTGATAATACCACTGAAAACACTGCAATGTGCTGCTGAAAAATAAACATTTGGGGGCACAAAAGCTGCTGGAAATGCAGCAGTGACTTGCAAAATAAGCACCTATGTTTTGGGGCAGAAATGCCACTGGAAACACAGCAATGGGTTGCTAAAAACAGCCACATTTAAGGGCAAGAATGCAGCTGGAAAAGCAGTGATGACTCCCTAAAAAAACACCCAGATTTGGTGGCAGATAAGTGTCTAGAAACACAGCAATAGGTCGCTAAAAACAGCCATGTTTGGGGGCAAGAATGCCGCTAGAAACACAATGACGGGTTGCTAAAAGCAGCCATGTTTGTGGGCAGAAACGCCGCTGGAAACACAGTGACGGGTTGCTAAAAGCAGCCATGTTTGTGGGCAGAAACGCCGCTGGAAACACAGTGACGGGTTGCTAAAAGCAGCCATGTTTGTGGGCAGAAACGCCGCTGGAAACACAGTGACAGGTTGCTAAAAGCAGCCATGTTTGTGGGCAGAAACGCCGCTGCAAACACAGTGACGGGTCGCTAAAAACAGCCACGTCTGGGGGCAAGAATGCAAACCCATGCTGAAACCAGCGATGGGTTGCTAAAAAGTGCCACATTTTAGGGCAAACATTGGTGGAAGTGCAGCAAACTATCACCAAAAGCACTGCACATTTGGGGGTGCAAACGATGATGGAAACACTACTGAAAGTGCAGTTGGAGACATCGCTGGAAACACTTCTGAAAACACTGCAATGTGCTGAAAAAAAATGTTTGGGGGCAAATACACAGCTGAAAATGCCACTGGAAGTGCTGCTAGAAACAGCTGGAATAAATGAATAAATGAATAAATGAATTGTTTATTTTCGTGTCTGGCCATTTCAACAGCGGCCAACCCCTTATGGGATTATTTAGACACATTTAAAGAAAAACATCATTCTAGTGTCATCACGCTGACACAAAACAAAGAAACACCTACATCTGGGAACCCAAATGCTGCTGGAAATGCTTCGATGTCTTGTAAATGAACAATCTGCTTAGTTGTTTGTTGTTCTCGAGCAGTGGTCTGCAGCTTGGCAGGCTAGGTGTCATACCATCCACCATCCCTGACAGAGGCAGCTCATACACATGTTGCTGCATAACAAGAAACATAGCTGTTAAATAGCTGATAAAAGCATCCTGAACATACTAGCCAGTGTAGCATAAGCCTTCTAACCTAAATCTATAACACTGTTAACAACTACTAATACCGATTTAATAGAGCGATAATGTTCGAGTGGGGTGCACTCTTGGACTGAATTAAACAACGTGGACTGTAGCGAGTACTGGAGGGAATAAACAGTGACAGCAGAGTAGAATGAGAAAAGATTGTAAACAAACACAGTATTTTTAACCTCTTATTTTTCATGCAGTTTATGTAGCTGAATGTAAAATTGTATTTAATTTGCTTTGGCCACGTGCCGATAACATTTCCTTTTCAGCCCAAAAGTTAAGACAGTTATAGCAATAAAATTAAAGGATGAAGCTGACCCTTATTTGTTTAATTTAATTTATTTATTTATTTGTTATTGGTCAGATATTACAGAAGCAGCATTACATGCACATAAGGGGAATACTTTGACATTTTATAAAATAAACATATCAACTTTCTTGCCATGAGTTAGATCAGAGGATCACTTCACTCTCATGTCTGCACAGTTAATGTGATGCTACAACCAGCCGCTGGTTAGCTTAGCTTAGCATAATGACTGGAAACAGAGGGAAACAGCTAGCCTGGTTCTCTGCAAAGATAACAAAAGCATTTGTTTTACTGTTGCAAACATTTAATATTTAAGATACTTGTATGTTTGCCCATGAAAATATTTATAATACAGATTGTGAATAAAACTGAATAAACTTGAAAAGCAGAGCTCACTAGCTCAGTCAGTCATCATGTATAGTGATGGCCAAATGAAGCCTCATGAACCACTTTCTTTATTTTCTGACCCCACCAGATGGCGCTCTTGGTTTAAAGATAAAGGCTGAAGGACTGGCAATGAAGTGTGCTTTCAAACCTTTGTTGACCAGACAGCGCCATCTGGTGGCTTCAGAAAATAAACACAGTGGTTCATGAGGCCTCATTTGGTCATCACTGATCATGTGCACTCTGTGTTGTTGTGTGTTAGTTTTTGCATTTTATGTCCACAAGTCTCTCGTATGTTAAATCTTAATATTCACAGAGTAATGCTTGCACATCAGAACCACTTAAAAAGTCTGACATAAAAAAGGGCCTATCTTCAGAACTTTTTTTTAGTAAAGTTTGATAACAAAAATTCTGTTGGATCTATACATATATTTAATTTTATTATGTTTTTGTGCTTGGAAATGTAACATAATACTGACTAGTCCATACCCATTGGTAGCTTTGTCACCTTCTACCTATGCCAATCCTCAATGCCTATGTGCAGTTTCACATAGATTGACCACGTCAGTGAGTAGAAAAACATGGGACAGACAGAATGACTGACTGACAGAATGACACACTGACAGTTTCCGTGATTATGTACAGCATACCATATCATGACTTAGTCATACCAACAATTAGAAAAAAAAATCAACAACATTGGTCCACAGGGGGAGCCACAGCGATCGGTCGGTCGCATTTTAGCCATTTTTAAGCATTTTTCTGTTGTTATAGCACCACCCAGTTGCCAATTAGAGTTAAATTTCTCCAGTCACCTTGAGGCATCCTGTTCTACATATCTACCAAGTTTAGTAAAAATCGATATGGCGGTTAGGCCTAGATAAGAAATTAGCTCTCTAGCGCCCCCATTTTGTTTGATGGGGTCAATAATGGAGGGGTCCCCTCAGATTATGTGTGGTCATATGCCTACAAAGTTGCGTGGTGATTGGTGAAACCCTTGAGATGTTATACACCTTTATGTGATGAGCCACGCCCTCCGCAATATGCTCTACCACTAAGCCACCAACGCCCCATGTTCACCTATTTTCATGCAGATCGGTCAAACTTCCTAGGAACAGATCGATTTGAAGTGTTTTTCAAAAATTCAAAATGGTGGAAAATCTGTATAACCGGAAGTCATGGGTTCTTGAGGCAAATTTGTTCCTCATGAGGAGAGGCATCTCTGTGCAAAGTTTCATGTCTCTACGACATACGGGGCATGAGATATGCCCATTCAAAGTTTGCAATTTCAATCGATTGCTATAGCGCCCCCCTTTGGCCAATTGATGTAATATTGCTTCATTCGCATCCTCCCATGACCCTCTACCACTGTGCCAAATTTCACATGGATTGACCAAGTCAGTGAGGAGAAAAACGTGGAACACACACACAGTTTTCGTCATTATATAGTAAGAAGATTAACAGCAGTGAAACCAACACACAATCAGTGGTTTTGAGATTTTTAATATTTTTTCTGGTAATCATACACACACAACGATAATTTTTAAAATAGTCAGATATTTTAGAATTCAGGAACAAGCTTGGTAAGACTTGCACAGCAACACTGACGCACAACACAAGCGCAAAGGTGGGCAACCAGATGTCAGCATCTGGTAAACAAATCTCCTTGGGTTTCCCTGTCACTGCTGATCCAGTTTTGCATGAAATGACTAAACTTTCCATAAATGTTCCTAACGCATCACCTGAGCTCCTGAACAGAGCTGGTTGAAGAAGCTTTCATCAGCAGGAGCGGTAAGTCCTGTTACACAGCATGTTCTAGTCGATATTAATAACGGACCACATTATGTTTTCTCTTCCTTTCTGAGTGTGATATACTTATGGTCTGATATAAGTGAACATATGCCGTGTAGTATGATTTTTATTCTTCTGGTTTGCAGATTAAATAATGTGGCTACAAAGTGTCATCCCCTTCATTGGTAAGCACAGTGTATAAGTTATTGGAACAATAGTTTTTCATATTATTGACTGTAATAGTTGTTGAAAGATGGAAATAACAGTCTGCTTTTTTATTTAGGGATTCTCCTTTTGTTTCAGAGGACCACTGCTTATCTGAGTGAGTACCTGTTCAAAGCAATTAAATTTTACATCCTAACCACTGTTAAACATGTTTTGTTTATTTTATTATTAATAATGTGTGACAAAAGGTACCATATGCTTTCAAAAACACATAATGTGAAGACGTGGTGAAAATGCAGAGTAGTTAGAAGGGCATTGCTAAAGAGCATGGAAATACAAAATATTACAACTATTACAATCAATTTGCCTAGTGGTTTTATTCATCTGATATGTTTGTTTTGGAGAGAAAGAGACCTTTGTGGATTATTCGTCTCCCGGTGAAAATTCTTGAATTACTATCTTATGTTATTAGAGAAAAAAAAGTGACCACACATTAGCATGTGTTGGACGTGTCACTGTCTGTCTGTGGATAATTTGACTTGCTGTAAACACTTCCTGAACATCTGGATCAGAAGGTGAGCAAATCATGAGAGAAATGGGGTGAGCACTAGAGCGTGGTTTGGGACACATTTTCCTGACCAAATCCAACCCAAGTCCGAGACAGTTATAACCGACCAACACTTGGCCATAGCACAACACAGCACCATGTCAAGTGGGCCGAACCCGAGCAAAATTTCTGATTTACTATCCGAACCTGGCCCGACCCCTTTGGGTCTGACGGGTCGTGTGGGGCTTGGGTTGGGTATCCACACTTTGGTGAGCACACAGTAACATGTTGTGGGTGTGCCTCCAAGATGCCGAACAGCTTCAGAGAAGCACTGATTTGTAAATTGCTTTACTCAAGCGGCAATAATCGCCTGGTCCACCTGTTTTGGAGAGGAAGGCAAGCCCTCATTAAAACATGATCCAAATACAGTAAATACAAAGTTTGTCTTGAGACTGTCACAGAGGTGTTGATTCTGCGGTATTTCAGGATGCCCCTATTCCCTTGTTGTGCCTCCGCAACGTAGCATCATGTTTTCGGGTTGTCTGTCTGTCCGTCCCGTTCTTGTGAACTTGCTATCTCAGGAACATCCGAAGGGAAATTTTTTAAAATTGGCACAAATGTCCAACTCTAGTTTCAATTTGCTTCCTTTCATAAATATAAACTTCTGCCCAAAGCACCTCAGCAGTACCACCACATCGACATCGCCCTGACCTGGTATGAAGCTCAGAGCTTCTGCAGACTCAAGTTCACCGACCTGGCCACTGTGGACAACATGAGCGTCAAGAACGAGCTGGTCAGCGTGCTGGGCAGTCATGTGACGTACAGCTGGATCGGGCTTCGGAAAGGAACGACTCCCAGGTGGATGTGGTCCGATGGCAGGGGCAGAGCGCACTTCACCAAGTGGGCTGAAGGTGAACCGAACAACGCAGGAGGCAATGAGGATTGTGCCGAGATGGTTGCGGATGGCTTGTGGATAGACATACGGTGTGGAGAGGACAAAGCTGTTACGTGTTATGACCGTGAGTAAATGATACACAGTGACTAACAGTAGAGAACAGCTTATTTAGATTGGTTATATTTTTTAATGGTATAAATGTCATCTTACATCAGTCATGTTTAATCTCTGTCTTACTTTGCCGAAGAAAGACCTGAAATTAATTTATGCTACCATCTCATTGTCTACCTCTTTAGGCCTGCAGGACGGCAAGCAAGAGTATGTATATTACTCACAGAGGAGAACCTTTGTTGACAGCCAGGAGTTTTGCCGAAGTAGCCACACTGACATGGCCTGTGCAAGCACTGAGGCGGATAATTCACAGATTTCCAGTACTGCCGGAACATCAGACAGCAACAAAGTGTGGATCGGTCTGTTCGAGGATGCCTGGATGTGGTCAGATGGAAAAGAAACCTCCTTCAGGTTCTGGCTGAGTGGCTCGCAGTCTTGGGGAGACTGTGCTTCTGTTGCAGTGGCACAACAGGGACGCTGGATCGGAGCTGATTGTAACCAGAAGGCCACGTTTGTCTGTCAGGGTGGTGAGTAAATGAAATGCAGAATTAATTAATGAATTCCTGGAAATGCTACTGAAGTGACTTTTAGTTAGAAGGAGTCAGCTGAGCACATTTTGACTTTTGAGCAGTAGCCGCAAAAGTGCCGACACATCCTCACTATATCAACGTTTGGTCATGGACTTTCCACGTCCACATGAGACATGCAAGGTACCCTGGGGGCGTTCGTTGTCGACGTTCTGGGACACCGTGTCAAGTTTTGCCTGTTACATGCATTGTCTTCTTTCAAAATACAATTCCGTCTTCACAGGAAATGAGCAGTTTACATACAGTCTCTTTTAAAATAAAAGCACTACACCAGTACACCAACGTGAATTGACGTTTTTAAAAAGACGGCGCTTAAGATGCTTAAAGAAACTACACTACATCTCTGTTTTTCACCAAATCCTTCTACATTTCCCGGCAGTCATTACTAACAGTATGATTCTGTGTTGGGATGCTGCAGGTCTTAAGGTAAAGAAGAGGGTAATAAGGCTGAAGCTGCACTCTGATGTCGACCTCACTGACTCCGCACTCAGTGATGAACTCCTGAAAAAGGTAAAAAGAAATATGTGTACTTGTTCTGTGTATTTAAAATAGAGAGAAGATGAGACTGTTGTTTCCATTAGCAACCACTTTCAGGTTAATTATAAAACACATTCTACTTGTTTATACACTCACTGGCCACTTTATTAGGTACACCTTGCTAGTACCAGGTTGGACCCCTTTTGCCTTCAGAACTGCCTTAATTCTTGGTATCATAGATTCAACAAAGTCAACTGGCCACTCAGCTTTTATCTCAGCTTTTCAAAACTTGAGTGATTTACAGATACATTAATGTCACAGAGATGGGAAGGTAAAGCTACATCTGGAGACTATGACACTTTTAACACTGCTATTTGCCCTCAGTTGGAGACGATCCTGAGAGAACAGCAGCTGACTGATTTCCATCTCAGCTGGCGAAGTGACAAAAGTTCACTCATCTTCCATCGTCATGAGCAGTCGGAGGTCGCAGAGAGACAGGTGAGTGTAGCCTCTTGATCTCAGAAGACTCTTCGACCACAGACATCTTTGACATTTTTGAGTAGGACTGAATTAAAATGATAAGTTAGCTTATCTTGAATAAAATCATTTGACCACCCAACGGCACCACTAATGGTTGTACTAAACTAATTAAATTTGTCAGATTATAAAAGTGTGTGTGTGTGTGTGGGCTTCAAACCTAGTAGCTAGGGTGCACTAGGGCCCGTCATAATAGCGTGCGCTGGGGCCCATTGTAACTACCTTAGGCCACTGGCCTGTTCAGTAATCCGTCAGGGGAAACATTCACATTCATTCACGTTCTTGGTTCAGTCTTTTTTTGGCAACATTTTGTTACTCAAAAGCCAAATTTGGATGTCAAAGTGTAAGCCTTTAGCTCAGTCAGTGGTCCTGAACAAAAATGTATTTTGCTATTCATGACTCTGAGCGGGTGACCAAACTGAGACTGCAGTAATTCATAGCACATCTTACTATCTTACTATATAATGACGAAAACTCTGTCTGCGTGTGTCTGTGTGTGTGTGTTCCACGTTTTTCTTGTTGTGTGTTGGTTTCACTGCTGTTAATCTTCTTACTATATAATGACAAAAACTGTGTGTGTGTTCCACGTTTTTCTCCTCACTGACTTGGTCAATCCATGTGAAATTTGGCACAGTGGTAGAGGGTCATGGGAGGATGCGAATGAAGCAATATTACATCAATTGGCCAAAGGGGGGTGCTATAGCAACTGATTGAAAGTGCAAACTTTGAATGGGCATATCTCATGCCCCGTATGTCGTAGAGACATGAAACTTTGCACAGAGATGCCTCTCCTCATGAGGAACAAATTTGCCTCAAGAACCCATAACTTCCGGTTATATAGATTTTCCGACATTTTGAATTTTTTGAAAAACAGTTAAAATCGATCTCTTCTTAGGAAGTTTGACCGATCTGCATGAAACTCAGTGAACATAATCTAGGGACCAATATCTAAAGTTCCCTCTTGGCAAAAGTTGGAAAACTTACTAAAACTGAGCTTCTATAAGGCAGTGAATATTGTGGAGGGCGTGGCTCATCACATAAAGGTGTATAACATCTCAAGGGTTTCACCGATCACCACGCAACTTTGTAGGCATATGACCACACATAATCTGAGGGGACCCCTCCATTATTGACCCCATCAAACAAAATGGGGGCGCTAGAGAGCTAATTTCTTATCTAGGCCTAACCGCCATATTGATTTTTACTAAACTTGGTAGATATGTAGAACAGGACGCCTCAA